GAGAGAGAGAGAGAGAGAGAGAGAGAGCGATGCAAGTGTTTGTTATGTAATTAATGTTAATATTGAGAAGAATCTTCAGAAGCGATCGGTTCAACAGTTTCTTTGCTTACGACAGACTCGTATGACTTTTTGCCAATAAGTTATTGCTATTGTTATCAAATTGTATGAGCGATTGAAAGCTCAGTTAGTTGTCAGGAGTCTTATGTTTTGATTAATTAAACACTTATGGTTAGGAAACACGTCAATAAATTGCATTAATATATCAATTGTTTGAATTGACTCCCAACTCAATTCAACTCAATTTATAATTACTATTCACTTATTGTTATCACATTTAATATTCATCTAACGATTAGAGAATTCTTCACTACTCTTCAAATGATATATAAAAATAGACTTTGAAACTGAAACTATTAACTATTAAGTTATTCTTATCAATCAATTATGCAATTTAAATCTTATATTTAATATTTAAAATTAAATATCAAAAGTGAACTCAATTATCAATAGTTAAATTATCAAACAATTTAAATTTGATATAAGAAATAATATTAAATCGTTTCTCAAATGAGAAATATGAATTAATTTTTAATTAATTATCGCACAAATATATTATAGTATCAAATCAAAGAATGATAACTAACGTGATATTTGTATTGCAAAAATAGGTGTCAGTGTCCGACTGGGACCCGATGTGTGCGCCATTCGGACGACATATCCATCTCTGCTTATGTCCATCGATGTCGACACGAACTCGAATGAGAGCCATATGTCGGACAATGTTATCAATAAATGGTTTCAATAAACCCAAAATTTAACGCTTTATTTAAGCTTAAAATTCAACATTTATTTTAAGCCAAAGAAATCGACATACGTTTCGTTCATTACATTATTATTATTAATATTATTTATCCAATTCTTTAGTATTTTATATTAAGTGTATATCAATAATATTTAAATGTTTTGTTGATGTCATTAATAATGTGTTTTTAATTCAATTATCAATCACTTTCACTCCTAATATAAATTATTGATTAAAATATTATTCGAAATAAATATTAATTTATTTCACGAATTTGTTTCAAATTTATTTAATTAATTAATTAAAATCTAATAAATTTTTAATTCTATATAATTTGTTTAATAAACAAATAAAATTGTCAGTGATATGAATGTTGCTTAAAAATACAATAAAAGTTTAAAACTAAATTAAATCATTTAAAAAAATGTATAAATATTACTACAAAAATATTAATTAGTGGAAATTCCTTAATTAAAAATTTTACTAAAAGACATACATTTACCAAAAATATAGCATATTTTTAAATCCATGATCTATTATGTAGTGGTGGCCCGACTCACGGGCTCTATTTGACTGGAATTAGTATCTATTTTATGTTTAAACGCTAAATATTTTTTCCTAAGTTCAGTCCAAAAGAGTAGACTGAGAACAGTGTGCGGACCCAATCGGAGCAGTGATGCCGACCAACCCTTATAGAAGCCGAGAAAGCCTTCAGTGGTTCCAATTTTATACATGCAGTTGAAAATGCCTGAGTATTTGAGTCCACGACCCGTCTTCTCATCGACGGGTTGATTGTAGAGTCGGGTCGACACCACATCAAAAGGTGTCATCAGGAGAGTGACGGCCAGTCCTCCGAGCATTGCGGCCGCCAATGAATTAAAGAAACTGTCCTCAGGAATGATCTAATGTATGGAAAGTGATTTTCATACTTATAAATATTAATCAATCGTATCATAGGCTTGAAGAATAAGTGTTTGGGTTCTGACCTTAGATTTAGAGATAATCGTTTTGACCGACGAGAAGGTCGACAACTGAATGGAGCCGCCAATAGTGACGCGAGTCATAGACGCCGTACAACCTCTCCAAAGGCCTACAATGCCATATGACTTGTAAATGGATTTGAGAGCGCCTGACATCGTGGAGTGCGGGTGTTGGTGACCCACCGCTATACTGGCCTCTGAACGGCATTGCAAATGTGTCTTCACCTATCAGTTCCCACAAAACAGTACTTTTATTAACAACTATTGTATTCACAGTTTTTCCAAGAATTCTTAAACCCGAAACTCAATTCATGCCAAAAAAGCAATTTTCTCTGAAATATTTCAATCCTTACTACAAATGCCTTCGCTTAACAAAAGGTGTCAAAACCAACTCAATAGTAGTCAATAACAGTTCTCTTATTCATTTTTTCATTAAATCGTTTCAAATATTATAATACTTTCTTTTCGCAGGAATTCCTCAAAAGATTACTATTTGTATTCAAAAAATTCAAAGAAAAGCAGAAAAAGTAAATATTAATCCACATCTTGTGTCAAAAAATTAAGCTCTCTCTCTCTCTCTATCTCTCTCTCTCTC